TTGGAAAAAGTGCAGAAAAGGGCAACTAGAATGATAAAAGGGTTTGAATACTTTCCGTATGAAGAAAGGTACTTTTCTCCCTTTCTCACAATACAAGAACTCGTGGGCACTCATTGAAATTGCTGAGCAGTCGAGTTAGAACAGATAAAAGGAAGTACTTCTTCACCCAAAGAGTGATTAACACATGGAATTCACTGCCACAGGAGGTGGCGGTGGCTACAAGCATGGACAGCTTCAAGAGGGAATTAGATAAGCATATGGAACAGAAGTCCATCAGTGGCTATTAGCCACAAGGTATGGATAGGAACTCTCAGGCTGGGGCAAGGGATGCACTGTATTCTTGGTGCTTGGGGAAGGGGCAACAGTGAGAGGGCTTCTAGAGTCCTAGCCCCACTGCTGGACCTCCTGATGGCACCTGGTATTTTTGGCCACTGTGTGACAGAGTGTTGGACTAGATGGGCCATTGGCCTGATCCAACATTGGCTTCTCTTATGTTCTTTTGTACTCCCCACTTTCCACAGTGATGACAAAAGCAAAACATTCATTGAGCTTCTCTGCCATCGACCCATTTTCCCTTAGCATTCCCTTTATTCCTTGGGCATCCAAAGGCCCAACTGCTTCTCTAGTTAGTTTCCTACTCCAGATATATATAAAGAAATGAAGAAATATTTTAAAAAATGAAGACTAGCCAGGAAAACCTAGTTTAATACTACATATTAAGAAAAGCAAGTGATGAAAGCAGTTGATTGGAGACCTCAACAGTCAGCATAACCAATTGCCAATGGCTTGGCAATATCACATCTCATACTTGAAATCATTTTAATCCTAGCCATGCACCTAGCTGGGTCTTCCCTCTGTCTATATCAGTTTTAGCCCTTGATACCAAATAATGTGGCACCTGAGGACTGCTTTAAATTACTCCATTATAAACTACATTACTATAATATTTAAAATAAGATTTTCTCATCTAGCTCAACATTTATTAGTATAAAACATACAACTTAGGACACATGTTACACACCAATACATGTGCAAAAAAGTCTACAGACAGTTTCAGGACAGTTTGAAGTTAAGAAGCCAAAGCATGAGACAGTTACCTTTCTCCACTATAAACAATCTGATCCAAAACTGCTTTTTATATAGGAAAAGCAGTGACTGGGCTGTTGTTACATGCCTTTACCAACCACTTCCCATATGTAGTGTAAAACTCCACAAACTATGTCAATTGCAACTCTTTGTTTACTTCCAGTAAAATCACACTGCTGTCTACATTTGCTTCTATTATATCTTGTTGAACCTTTCAAAAAATTAAAGACATCTTTCTATCTAGCTGTCTCAGTGCTTGCCCACTTCCTTCTCCACAACTTGTTTCCTGCTTTGCCACATGTCACTACCACTACTACAGTATTCTTTAAATTGTAATAAATTCATGACGAATCATACAGGAATTTATTGCAATTATCATACATCATTTTCTTACTTAGCATGAGGTGGTCATGTGAAAAAGAACTAAAGGCGATAACATCTACACTAAATGAAATTATAGAAACCTAAACTACAGAAATGTGTTACCTGAAACTTCTAGCAAGGAAGTAAAGATGCCCACACAGCTGTCCCCTGGGGCAAGATGCTTTATTCCACTAAAGAAGGCTCTAATAAGCACTGTAAGCTTAAAAAAAATGCATCCTATAAAGCACAGAAAAAACTACTGCAGGCCTTAACTTCTGTACAAATGGCATTAAACCATTCTAGCCTCTTAAGTGATGAAAATACCTTAACGGTATACATAATTTATTATACAACCTGTGAAAATTTATTATATAACCTGTTGCCAAGAAGACAGTCTTAGAACAAACAGTTCTATGCACAATGCCTATAGCAAAGTCGAAACCAATCAGATTTTGATACATCCTGCTTTTCAAGAATACAAATAGAAATAGCGAACACAAAGCCCTTTGCCTTTCACAGAAGAAACAAGTGGTTTAGGGAAGAAGTAAAAATTAAAAAGGAGAAACCTTACTCTAATGGCCCCAAACCCCAGTGGCAAAAAATGGAAATGAGGCTTTTACCATCCATCAGCTGCCACTGAAACAATGTTATTGTAAACTGCACAGCCAATCAGATCTCCAGAGGATAATCAAAAGCCCTGCTTGGCAGGAGCCCCAGGCTATTTTCTCAAAACACTTGGCAGGCACCACATTGGAGACCCCTGCTGTACATATTGTCCTACTATGTAATTTCTGCATAATTCAACATGTCATGTTTAAACTTATGCTTTGTTTCAGCTTTGTCCACATATTTCTGGAATCCTAATCCTATTACATTGCTTATTGGCTGTCCCATCCTGTTGACTGTATCAACTTTCACTGCGTAATCCAACTTCGGTCTCCGTGAGAAAGGCGGACTATAAACAACATAAATAAAATTAAAAGTAATTCATGCTACAGCAAATCTGTTGTACTTCAGAGTTCTGTATGACTTTTTTTTCCCCCTGTAGAGGAATTTTCTATAGAGCAAAGCTCACAGTCAAAGAGAAGGACTACAAAAAAATGCAGGGCCTACACAAAATATATTTTGTCCATTATTCCCGCACACAAATTATATACACAAGCTTTATTTGGTCCTAGAACAAAAACAACGCAGACTGTGAGTACAAACACCAGCAACACTTGCACGTGCTATACATAAAATGTGGATCATAGAACGTAACTGGATATGGCCTTTGTCTACATTCAGGTGGAACTCATCAGCTGAAGCCACCAGAGCTATCGGTCCTGTAACCTGGCCTGAAACCAGATTGAAACGTGTCCAGAGCCAATGAGTTATCCAGAAGACATGGAGTTAGTCTGCTACTGTTCTTTCAATCACTTTGTCCAGAAAGAGCAGGTTAGAGTTTGGGCAATAATTGATCACATCATTTTTGTATAGGGATGGTTTTTTAAAGTAGTGAGTGGATAATCACCTCTTTGTGCCCTGAGTTTGTGACTGATTAATATGGTCCTTGCATGATTTTAGGAGACAGGATGGGCAAGGGTCCAGTGCATAAGTTGTGGTCTTCACAGATCCCAGGATCTTGTCAATATCCATTATGGTCAAAATGGTCCATTACGCATTTCTTCTGACTAGCCTGTATTACAGCTGGCATTCAGATCAGGACTTATTTGTTTTATTTATCAGGAGAAAAAACTTTGCAAAGGTATCATAGCTAATTGCCTGTTCCTGTATCATAGTTAATTGCCTGTTCCAGTAAAAGTCCAGTTTTGGGAGTCAGCAGATGTCAAGATACATTAAACAATTGGGATAGTTGTGAACAATGGTTGCTTACAAACTAGTTCACCTAATACAAAACATGTAAGATGTCACTCCAAACTTTTTTTAATATGTATTTGTGAAAGTAGCATACCAGTGATCTGAACTTTGGTATATGGTCCAGGATGGCTCAATCCCATCAGATCGCAGCAGCTAAGCAGGCCCTGGTTGGTACTTGGATGGGAGACCACCAATGAAGTCCAGGGCTGCTACACAGACGCAGGCAATGGTAAACTACCTCTGAACACCTCTTGCCTCGAAAGTCCTACAGGGTCACCATAAATCAGCTGTGACTTGACATCACTTTACATCATCTTACCTTTCCCAATTGGCCCATTATTCAGATTTCTGCCATAATCTCTTTCTCCTTACCTCCTCCTGTTAAGAAACAAAGTACCATTGCATCTGCATACTGGAGACAGGAAGGGATTTCACCGTTTCCACCTCAGACATTCTGTTCTGGGGAGCTTTCTTTCACAGCAGAAGGAAGAAGAGGCTATGGCAGTAGCAGTGAGGAGTAAATGAACAATGGGAAATAAAATGCCCCAGAGCTGAGAGTATGAGATGGAAGTGCATTCCCTTCTCAAGCTAGTCACCATCCACATCAGGCAACCAGCAGCAGATCATTTAGTTCCCAAACAGAAGGAAGAAGCAGCAGGAGGAAGCAATGGAATGGCCAATCTATGGAGAAGAGGATATTCAAGCTTTCAGTTCACTGGTATGCTGCAGCAACATATCCTGATGTGTTGAATGTGTTCGGGGCATGCATGCTATTTACAGAAGATTTAATAATCACAGAATCATAGAGTTGGATGTGGCCATAGAGACCATCTAGTCCAATCCCCTGCCCAATGCAGGACCAACCTAAAGCATCTCTGACAAATATTGGTCCAGCATCTTCTTGAAAGCTGTCAGTGAAGGGGAGCTAACCACCTTTCTAAGCAGCTGATTCCACCTTTGAACCACTCTGACTATGAAAAAGTTTTTCCTAATATCCAGCCGATACCTTTCTGCATGTAATTTAAAAACGTTTCTTCGGGTCCTACCCTCTGCTGCCAACTGGAACGGCTCCTTGCCCTCCTCCAAATGACAGCCTTTCTAATATTTAAAGAGAGCAATCATGTCCCCCCCTCAATTTCCTCTTCTCCAAACTACTGTAAACATTCCCAAGGCCCTTAGCCTAGGGCTCCGTCTCCAGACCCCTGGTCATCCTCATCGCTCTCTTCTGCACTCTCTCAATTTTGTCCACATACTTTTTGAAGTGCGGGCTCCAAAACTGCACACAGTACTCAAGGTGCAGCCTGACAAGGCAGTATACAGAGGAACTATGACCTCCTGCGATTTTGACACCACGGCCCTTTTAATACAACCCAAGACTGAATTTGCCTTTAATAATATCTACAGAAGATTTAATAATAAATCTAAGATTATGGAAAAGAATGAGATGAGTTACAAGGCAATAAAAAGTCTCCTTTGCCATCCCTCAAACTTGAAAAAAGGTAAAATAAATTTACAAAATAAGAACCTCATTCCCCAAATTACATGCCTCCAGGATCTCTCAGGTTAGTAAACAGAATACAATGAAATAAATAAAATAATCAGGATTTTAAATATAGCAGATACTTGTCTTTGAAGTCTTTGAACACGGTACTTTAGAAACTGTAAAACAGGAAATGTACATGATCTCATACCTGCTGTACAATTGTTGTTAATTCAAGACAGAGCTGTATGATATTATTTCTTGTAACAGAATAATCTGTCACAGCAGCAAAAGGTGATCTGCAATAAAGGAAAAAACTATATTAAACTGAAACTGCCTTTTTATTATAGCACTAAGTTTACACAAACAGCTTTAACAGCCTACAAGAGAAACAAATATGCCATGGATATATAAAATACACTGTACTGCAGGCAACTGCAATATTGACTCCAATGGTAGTTTCTGCTGAAATGTGAATCTTCTTGCTCAGGATGCAGGAACCTTTTGTATTAGCACTTCTGTATTCTACCCAGAGATAAGAAAAGTATACATCAGTTAATTCCATGTTTCCTTGAGAGAGATTCCCTATTTTGTACCAGTTTTGTTTTTCCGAAGACAGTAATTCTGCGGAGTTTTAACTTACCACAAAATAAATGTGCATAAAAGGAGAAGTGAGACAAGAGTCCCTCTTGAATCAATGCTAGAATTATAAACTCACTCATATGCACGGGATCAGGAAACAAGAATTAATTCCAGTGAAAAAATTTTATTTGAAAAATTGTTACAATCAGTTTACTAGCACACCCAACTCCTAAAACTAGAACAGGCTATTGCAATTAAGTACAGCGCACATCAAGCACAGAACAGTCTTCAGAAATATGTTGTGAAGAAGGCAGAGCTTGAGAAAGGGATATTACATGTACAGAATAATGTTTCTTTTTCCACCTGCAAAATCATGGAAGGCATCTACATGGGCCCCCTTGCCCAGATAGCCTGGAGGTTTGGGCTTGGGTGTCATCAATATGCAGATGACACCCAGCTCTATCTGATGCTAGGCAGCCGGTCGAACTCTGACCCAGATGACCTTCAGCGGGCATTGCAAGCCGTGGCTGGTTGGCTCAGACTGAGTCAGTTGAAACTAAACCCGGCAAAGACGGAGGTCCTGGGCTTAGGTAGGGTCAGTTCGGGGTTAGGACTCCCTCTCCTGACCTTCGATGGGGCACCTCTGGTGCCAATGTCGAGGGTTAGAAGCTTGGGTGTGCTCCTGGATTCCTCCTTAACGATGGAGCCACTGCCAAGTTGGCCTTTTATAATCTTCGGCTGGCTCGGCAGTTGGTTCCCTTCCTCAACCGCGATGACCTGGCCACAGTGATCCACACGACCGTCACCTCGAGCTTGGACTACTGTAACGCTCTCTACATGGGGCTGCCTTTGTCACAAATACGGAAGCTGCAGCTAGTGCAGAATGCGGCAGCCAGGCTGCTGACGGGCCTGTCTAGGTGGGACCATATCCAGCCTGTGCTGAAGGCACTGCACTGGCTGCCAACAGTGTACCGAATCCACTTCAAAGTGCTGGTTCTTACCTTTAAAGCCCTAGATGTCCAGGGTCCGGCATACCTAAGGGACCGCCTTTCCCCATATGTTTCCCCAAGGGCACTACGGTCAGGGGCCCTCCATTTTTGGTTACCCTGGGCCCCAGGGACGTCAAATTCACGGCAACCGGGGCCAGGGCCTTTTCAGTGGTGGCTCCTACCTGGTGGAGCAAGCTCCCGAGGAGATCTAGGTACTGTGGGACCTTGCACAGTTCTGCAGGGCCTGCAAGACGGAGCTCTTCCACCAGGCCTTTGAGTAGGAGCCGCCGCTGCCACTATACCACCAGCGCACCGCCACCACAAAGGTGTGGATACCATCAGGGTGCTAGACGGCCCTGGGATGAAGACTGGATAGCAGCGTTGTTTTGGAACTTACATCATTGTTCTGGGTCTGTCTTGCCAGAACCCATCTTGAAATCATGGACATTTGGAGCACCAGCACTTTACTGTATTATCTTGTTTTTAACTGTTTTAAGCATGGCCTTGAACCCTAATTGTTAGCCGCCCTGAGCCTGAGGGGAGGGAGGGATATAAATTGAATAATTAATTAATAAATAAATAAATAAATGCATCATTCTACCAAATGGGTATTTGATACCAGCCAAAGCAGTTTGGGCACCCTGTTAGGGTGGCTAAACTGGAGCTTCCAGTATGGCGCAGTGAGCGAGCGGGCACTCTTTGGGACTCCCGAATCGCCCATTCCCATTTTTGCTCTTTTGGTGCTTTTCCGGTACACCGGGGGCATCGCCCAACCTCCTGGAGGGAGGTGGGGTAGCAGGGGGCTTCACTTGGCCACCTCCCGCACATGGCAAGTGTGGGGGTGAGCTGTTTTTTGCCTCAAAGCAGGAGCGACCGAGGGAAGGAAACATGGTTCCCATGTTTTTCATTAGCTGCGACCAGCCGTTTTAAAGACCGTTTCGTTCATGGTTTTTCTTTTTCTTTTTTTGTTTCGTCTTGCAAAAAAGGAAACTTGTGAGTACACAACTGCTCTCTTTATAATCTGTGATGACCCTCATTAAATGACCCACACAAGACTATCTCAAACTTTTGAAATGTATAAGCGGCCATGGAAAAGAATGGAGTAAATGATAGGAAAATGGCATTAAATGTGAAAAAGGAAGAAGGCTCAGTAGGAGAAACTTAGAAATTAGTGAACTCGGATATATAACCTTGGATCAATTCAAAGAAATTCTATTTAATGAGGTGTGGCAGGCAGCTGAGGATGCCTGCAAAAACTTTATCAAAAACCTTCTAAAGAAAGACCCAGAATTGGAAAGCAAACAGAAACCGGAGCAGGAAGAGAAGGAGGAGCCCCCGCAATGTCAGCGTTCTGTGATTTCAGAGAAGGAACAAGGCGACTGCCAAGACAAAAAAGTACAAGACAGAAAAGAAACGCTCCCAGAGGAAAAGTCATGTAAAGTACTTTACAAAACGAACCAAGACAGTAGGATTTACAGAAGGAAATGCCCGAAAGCAACTTAATGTAGATACGAAGAAATGGATTAAAAAGAAAACGAGGCAATTTCCAAACAAAAAGACTAATGACTGCAAAACACATGTGACAGAACTGATTAAACAGGAAAAACAAAACGGAGCAGAAATACATAAGTATAAAGAGGAGAGGCATCAAGAAATGATCATAAAGAAGAGGGCACTTCAGGAAACAGGATTGCCAGCTGTATTATGTGGTAGCATAATTCTCTTTCTTTTTTATATACCGAATGAAATGTGGGTGGTGTTAAAAGATGAAAATGAATGTACTTGACTAAGGCATTTTGATTTAATTTGGAATGATAATAAGAATATTAGATAGATATCCTATGTCCAGTTTAATTATAAGTACTCATGTGTGATTTTTAAAATCTTGTTTCTGCTGTTGCTTAAAGGGATTATTTTTTGTTAGTATAATACAAAGAAACTAAGTACTGTAAGAAGGATTGGGACAGTCTATTAATAACTTTTTACTGTCAGAAAAGAAAATGAGGTAAAAGTTAATTTATATCTGACTTTAGATCATCTTTAATTTTGAGTATTTGATTTTTGGGCTAATTATATGCTTGGATGCTCCCCAGTAAATGGTTATACACACCTGAGTTATTTTTTAAAAAAAATTCATTTCTAATGTTGTTCACAGGGGTTATTTCTGTTATTATAAAGCAAAGAAATGAAATAGGACTAAAGATTTCAGTAGTAACTTGCTGTTAGAATATAATATATATAAAAAAACACGGTTAAGATTGGAAAATAAGGTCATGGACCCGTTTGGGTCCGGTTAAACATATGGAAAACTTTTGCTGAGAAGACTGTTGGAAAACTCAGCTGCGGTTGGTATCCGTTGAATTAATTAAAAGAAGAAAATGTGATAGGTAATTATTGTAGAACGTAACTCTGACAACCTCTATTTTTTGGGTTGAAACATAGGTGGATGAATTATGAGAAATATATGTTGATTTACAGTGAAAAAGATAAATGAGATATGAAGAAATATTTTAAGTAAATTTAGTTTGTTGCAATGATGTTGTAAAATGTAATCCTTGGTTGGGTATTTGTTTGTTTGTTTGTTTTGTTTTGTCTTTAAAAAATCAATAAAGAAATTATTATTTTTTTTAAAAGGGTGGCTAAACTGCACCACTCAACCACAAGAAGCTGATGCCCTTCCTCCTTGCCCCCACCCTCTGCCAGGCCACAGGAAGAGTGCTCCCTCTCTCCTCCCCAACCCCAGACTGCGGGGAGGCAAGAAGCTGCTACCCACTCTTCTCATCCTCCAGGGGATGGCCAACACAGCACTCAACCTCCCTGCCCCCCCACGGAGCTCAAAGAAGCAAGAAGCTACTGTCCATTCTCCTCATTCCTGTGAGCAGCCAGCCAGGTTGGCTAGCACCTAGGGCGGAATAGTAGATGGGCAACCTTCATATAGATACATATCGTATGACTACATGAGACAGACACAAGGAACAGATACAGGACAACTACAGGTTCTTCATGTGACCAGAGCAACATGTTTCAGCCGTGTGGAGGAGCTGCCACACTGATAGTCATTGTTTTATCTGTGATTAGGGATGGGCACAAACTGCATGATGAATCAAAATTTGAGCCAAATTTTGGCCGGACTGGGACTCAGGAGTAGGGGTGTGCATTCAGCTTTGCCGTATTGAAAAAATATCCAAAAAATACTGATAAGGTATTTTGGGGGTATTTGTTAAGCCAAATCAGATTCTCTAATCTGATTTAGCTGTCTGATAACGTCCTCCTGAATAAAAACTGGTCTTGTTCAGCTTTTATTCAGTGGAGTAGAGGTAGGGATTAGGGAAGCCGTCGGTTTCAGTGAAACTGATCAGCTCTGCCTTCCCTTCCTTCCCTTGGCTTGTCCCGGTGCCCTGCACCACAGGGAGCCCAGGCAACCTGACCCTTGGACGGAAGGCAGTTCAAACTGCCATCCCTTGGTTTGGCTGGGCACCACGTGACCGCGGGGAAACAGGGCAAGCCAATCCTTGGGGGGAAGGCAGTTTAAACTACCTTCCCTGGGCTTGCCCTGGTGCCCGGCAGCTGCAGGACGCCTGGGGAAGGTGATCTGGGGAGGCAGGCAAGATGGGGAAGGGGTGGCATTTAAGCATGCCTCCTCCCCATCCTATCTTTCCTTCCTCAGCCCCCTATCTGCTTGTACTGGTCAATTTCACTCCGCAGATAATCAGCGGGGAGTGAAACTG